GTGTTTAAGTATATATGTGTATGAATATATATATCTTTGTGTGTATATGTCTATATATGTGCATGTATTTGTATACACATGTGTGTGTATATCTCCATCACGCTTAATTGTAGCCTTGGGATGGGGGGGGGGAACAAAGTAAAAAGTACACAGCAAAAGACAAAGGAAAACTTACAAGGAAGCAAAGATGGCCAGTTCTCAACACAATGCATAATATTTATTATATAGGCTTTCTTGAAATGGAAATTTATTGCTGTGTATTTTGAATCCTCTCTCATGTTCTGCTGTGTACATGGCAATGCTATTTTTTTCTTCTTTTGTATTATTTTAGCTTTAGTATGAGTTTGTTTCTTTTTTCTTTTATTTTGTATAAGTTTAAAATTTTAAAATTTACCAAAAATTTAAAAAAAATTTTTTAATGAATTCCTATTATCCTTTCAGTAAGATAATCTGTGCAGATTTTCATTTCACTTGAATCACTGAAACTAAACTTTACAACATATCATCTTGATGAATGGACTTTTTCCCTTTCAATCACTTATTTATCCATCTATTCAGAAATTCATTACTCAGGCAATTAAAACATACATTTTACTAATGTTTTTCAACTTATTCTTTTTTCCTCCTTCATTGTGACTATGTAGCCAGCCTCTAGCCTCAGTCCTCAAAAAAAAAAGTTTCTATTAGTCTTCCTGAGAGATACAATGAAAATGTTTGTTCCCATGAATTAGGAGCAAACAGCTAGAAAAGTAACTAAGTAAAACAGATACAGCTGGTTTTATCTTGTTTTGCTGATAGAAGTTAGTAAGTAGGACAAAGGTTAAGCTTTGCTTAGCGTGTGCATGCTTAATATTAGCTTCTCCTTACTAGCTGTATGACCCTGGGCAAGTCGCTTAACTCCAACTGCCTAAATAAATAAACAAATAAATAAATAAATATTAGCTTCTCCACCGCCAGAAGAAGCTAAGAAGCCATTTTCTAAACATGGGATGTATGAAGGAGGAGGAAAGACATGTCAAGGAGTAGATGTGTAATAGGCAAACTGCAAAGTCGTACACCCTGGAGTACTCAGCCAATGAGGAAACAGAGGAGGGACTTTGCAGCCGAGATTAGAGATAAATAGTGAACTCCTGCTTTGGTACAATGTGTCCACAGCACACCTGTGGTGGTTGCAACTGTGTGATAAACTGGACTTTTCACTGCATCCCTCCTGAGTCCGAATGAGTTATTCTCACATTCTTAAATATTGTCCTTTTGACTTACATGAACCAACGCAAAACAAAGTGAGCAGAACCAGAACACTACACACAGTAACAGCAACATTGTGCAATGATCAACTATGAATAACTTTGCTCTTCTCAGCAATATGATGATCGAAGACAATTCTAAAGTACTCATGACAGAAAATACTATCCACTTCCAGAAAAAGAACTTGGTGGAGTCTGAATGCAGATCAAAACCTACTATTTTCACTTTATTTTTTTCTGGGTTTTTTCCTTTTAGTTTGTTTCCTCTTCACAACATGTCTAATATGAAAATATGTTTAACATGATTGCACAGATATAACCTATTTAAAATTCTTACCTTTTTAGGAATGAGAGGAAAGTTAGGGAGAGAAAATTTAGAACTCAAATTTTTTTTAAATGAATGTTAAAAATTGTCTTTTCGTATAATTGGAAAAAATACTATTAAAAAATACTCTCCTTCAAAAAACTCCTTCATTTTCAAAGCTCCTACTATCACCATCAGTGACCACCAAAATCAATAGCTCTTCAGCTTTATCCAAGACCTGTAAGGTTTAGCCATTTATCTACCATTGCCTACAAGGCAATCTCTTGTGGAGTTCCTGGCATAATTTCAAATTCAGCATTCAAGAAAATGAACTTATGGCTTCTTTTCTCAAAAATGTAAGCAACCACCTTCTGTTTCTGTCAATGACACCTACTTTCTATCTTCCCTCATAATTTAGGCTCCCAATTTCTGTGTCTATCACTCTCTCCAAAAGCCAGATTCAAAAGCTAAATTCAAAAATGATTCTCCCTTTTCTCTTTCAAAATCTGTATCCAGTCATTAACAAGTCCTGTTTCAGTTTGCCTTTATCACATTTTCCCTTTTCCTCCAGTCAAAATGGCATCAAGATTATCTATATCTTTATCTCAGGCTAGGATTATTACAATTCTTTGACTTGAGGCTTTTCCTTACTTCTTCCCCACCTCACTCCCTTGTTTTTTACTACTGCTAGATTTATCTTCTACTTCTAAATTTATAGTTCTACTGTCATTCTCTAGCTCAAAAAGCTAAAATGATTCTCTGATTGATTTTCAAGGATTGGCCTTGCTGTGCCTATCCAACTTTATTTTCCATTTTCCCTCCACTCTATACTAGATGATGGAACAAACACATACTCATTCCATTCTATCCATATCTTCAATCTCATTGTTTCCCCTGACAATAGGTATACCCTTTCTTTTTCATTACTATTGATTTTTCTTTCCATCTTTAAATTTTATTAAGAAAAATACAGAAAAGTTGCAGAAAGGGTAAAAATTTAACTGCACACGTGAAAACAGGAATACAAAACAGAACCTTGACTATACAATAAAATCCCTAACCATATGATAGCAGCAGAAAAATTGGATTTAAGTGAGGCAGAGTTATGCAAAGCTGTCAGCTAAACTCTTTCCTCTACAGTCAATTAAGTCCAGTGGCAGTACAAAAGTTAAGACAACTGGGCCAAGATGCCGTGGATGACCTTGGCATCTTCAAGGTCTGAGGTCTCCAAGCACACCACAGAGGTTGATTCAGCTGCTTTCATAGCTGTTAGGACAAATTGTTCTCATCCACCTATTCTGCCAAGGAAAGTCTTCATATGCTTGGGGTAGACATCCTCCCAGGTTACTCTCAACTTGGGTTAGCCTGTCAGCTGAGACAGTTTATCACGGTGTGGCCACTGCCCACGCTACAGCATCTTGGAGCCACAGGTGAGAGCTAGGTGAAAGGTGGACCCTAAAGGTAAATGAGCGGCCCCAAAAAGGGCCCAGCTAGCCCTCACACCAGAGGTGCTAGTCCTTCCTGAATACCCCATAAGCCCCATATAAGTAGAATATAATGTGCAGCCTAACATTTAAGAGGAAAATAGAAAACCTGGAAAGGGTTCAGAGGAGAGATACAAAAATAATAAAAGATTTGAAAAGGGGAACCCAGAAAGGTTCAAAGAATCTTAGTTTAGTAAAGAGGTATAACAACCAGTTGGTGGTACACAGGGCTTGATTTAAAGAGAAAGATGAGAGATGGATATATAGATTCAGGAATCATTTGCACTGGGGCAGCTAGGTGGCACAACGGATGGAGCACTGGCTTTGGAGTCAGAAGGACCTGAGTTCAAATCTGACCTCAAATACTTGGCACTTAACTAGCTGTGTGACCCTGGGCAAGTCACTTAACTCTGACTGCCTCACCAAAAAGAAAAAAAAAATCATTTGCACAGAGATGATAATTGAACCCATGGAGAACTGAGCAGAGGAGCTTACCAATAGTTTCATGGAAAGAGCAATGTAAACAGACTACAGCATTATATCAATGATGAGTTACATGCAAGAAGTGTTATAAGATATATCATCCAGTAAACACAGAATTAGAAAAGATGAATCATATGGTAAGAGTAAGAAATAACAGACACAGTTCAAATGTTACAATAATACCCAACACAATGCTATAAGAACTTAAGATAGGCCTCTTAATAAGTTGAGCAGATCACCTACATAGGATAAATAGAAAAAAAAGCTCCAATGAAAAACTGTGATCAGGACACAATCTTTATCACCTGTAAAAGCTCCCACATCGATGAAATCACATATCAACTTAAGTATAAATGTATCTAATTCTATACCACATGCCAGAGGAAAAAACTCTTTCCTAAGAATAAAAAAGAAAAGAAGTTTCTACACAGCCCTATTCAGTTTAGTTCCATGGCAAAACCTGAAACCATCCATTCTTGAAACTTGCTATCCTGGATACAATATTTTCCCTATTGATAGAATGACACCTCTACTAACAAAGATAATGCACCTAAACAACAGGTTCCATTGGCACAGATTTCATTATCAGAAGAAGTAATATAGGAGGTAGAAATTTTCCATGGTACATATTGCCTCTCTGCTGTGCCTCAGCAGGACACTCTTTTCATTCTCTCTCTCCCAGGAAAGGCAAACTGTGGTCAGCAGACCCTCTGAAGCTATAGGTGGGTGCCCCATCTTGTCTTAGGAAGTTGTCCCATTCATTGATGCATAGGTCACATGCAGTTTACTAAAGAAATATGACCATTTTTTGTTCAGCACAGGTTTTTCTATGGTATCTCTACCTGAAACAGAACCACCAGACAAGTGTAGAGGAAATTAAAACTTCTCTCCAGTATATTTACTTACATACCTTTGTCAAATATGTTCATTTTGGTTTTGCTTACCTGTTTTCATGGTTACAAGAAAAGGAAGGTTCAGGGGGAAGTACTGTATTGGAAAATGTCTGTGTTAATAAAAATCAAGAGGTTTTGACAAAATTTTTAACTATTCCCGAAAACTCCCCCTCCAGGACAACTTTGATAACATAGTTTTCCTTCAAATTAAAAAGCTGATTAAGAAACAGACTTTAGGGGGAAGCTAGGTGGTGCAGTGGAGAGCACCTGCCTTGAAGTCAGGAGGACCTGAGCTCAAATCCAGTCTCAGACCAAACACTTGACACTTACTAGTTGTGTGACTCTGGGAAAGTCACTTAACACCAATTGCCTTTAAAAAAAAAAAACAGACTTTACATTCAAAAAAAAAAAATCATCTGATATATCCATATGTTTATGTTACCACATTAATGAAACCCAATCAAGGTTTAACATCACAACAGAGATTAGAAATAGGCAAATTCACAGCAGTCAGCAGAAGATTAAAAGAAAAGACAGATTGGAATGCCAATGTACTATAAAATGATGTTAATAGGCCTTCATTACTTACCATCTGTAAGTCGAGAAGGTAGTAACAATCCTCTTCTGCCTAATTCTGCTAAAGCCAGACATCCACCATGCCAAGCATTATCTGTTTCCTGAAAACTAACAACAAATAGAACAACATGAATTTAACCTTAGGTATTTTAGTTTCTCAAAACTCAATCATTATTTAAAACCTGTTTTTTGTTGTTGTTATTTATCATTCCTTTTGGAAGATAAGGGACATTTCTATTTAAAAAATTTACAGGCCCTTCTAAGAATCCAATACTAAGGTTAGGAATTCTCCTCAAATAAGTTACACGGTGCCTTGGCTTACACTTGTTGCTGTGGGTATGAAGCACAAAATCTAAAATTAAGTGATAAACATATAATTATCATGTTCTAAATATGACATGAAGTTTGTCTACAGAATGTTAAGAACAGCAAGTTTTCTGAAACCCTTAGGACAATGGTATATGGTGGATGGGTGGATGGGTTGGTTGGGTGGGTGGGTGGGTGGGTGGGTGGGTGTGTTTTAAGGGTGGGAATATAACTGGCCAGCAAAAACTAACTCGGAGAAAGTTTAGAATTTATTAAGGATATGGTTAGGGAATACAAACATCTAGAAACAAGAGCCATGATCACAAAAAGTAAATGGCTTTATCAAGCAAGAACAAGTCATGCTAGAAAACTTCATTTACTTTTTTGATGGAGTTACTAGACAGATAATAGAGGCAACCTTTTAGGTTCAAATCCCACCTCTGATATTTTCTGGCTGTGTGCCCTTGAGCAAGTTACTTAACCTCTATGTACCCCAGGCACCTCCTAAGGGTTTACCTACTACATCACAGAGGGGTTGCAAACTCCATTATTTGATGTAATTCTCACACTGGGTGTATTATCTAGTCTTCACATTGACAAAATCATGGTGTAATAAACTGATAGCTCATGAAGCTAAAGAGGTAGATTTAAGCAAAGCATCTTTTACTATTTCTGCTCATATCATCCCAAGGTATGAACTAGAAGATAACATAGTTAGGTGAACTTGGAACTGACTGGACAGACAGGCCTGATGGGAACTTGGAAGATGTCTAGTGGAGTGCCAAGAAACAACTTCTCCTTGACCTTATACTATTTTACATTTTTTAAATAACCTACATAAAGTTTTAGATTTCATTTTATCAAATTTACACAACATGAAACTAAGAGAGAGATATAACAAACTGGATGACAAAGTAGGATGTAAATAGATCTCAAATGGCAAAACTATATCTATGAGCTATATCTAATAAGATAAATATTAATTTTAATTTTTTTTTATTTTTAGGCAATTGGGGTTAAGTGACTTGCCCAGGGTCACATAGCTAGTAAGTGTCAAGAGTTGGTCTGAGGCCACATTTGAACTCAAGTCCTCCTGACTTCAGGGCCGGTGCTCCATCCACTGCGCCACCTAGCTGCCCCAAGATGAATTTTAATAGGGATAAATGTAAAGTCTTATTTTGGGGTTCCAAAAATCAACTTTGTAAATACAAAGTAGAAGATGCATTGCTATATAACAGATGGTCTGAAAAAAGATCTGGGAGTTTCAGTAGCATGTTCAATAAATCAACAGTCAAAAAGAGAAGCCAAGAAAGGCTAATGCAATCTAAGGTTGTACTAAAAGGCACTGTATTCAGAACAATGGAGGTGATAACCCTGCTGTCTACCAGTCAGACCACATCAAAAGAACTAAGTTCAATTATAAGTAAATCACATTTTAAAGACATTAATAATAGGAAAGCAGCCAGAAGTGGGCAGCCAGGATAGTGAAGGGTCTTGAGGTCATGTCACATTAATTTGTCATGTCCCTTTAGTTTGGAGAAGGCAAGACTTTGACAAGAGAAAGTAAGAAAGGAAAGCTATCTTAAAATGCTTCCAGAGATACCACATAGAAAAGGAGTTAGACTAGGGGGTTTTTTTCCTGGGGTTCATGAACTTTTTAAAATATTTAACTGTATCTCAATAGAATTAGCTTCCTTATAATCCTATTCATTTTATTTGCACTTAAAAACCATTACCTGAAAAGAGACTTCACCAAACTACCAAAGGGAGTCCATGACACCAAAGATTAAGAACCCATGAATTAGACTACATCCAAAAAGTCACCAAAATGTACATATTCTTCAACTCAGAAATACTGAACATATACTCCCAGGACATCATGGTCAGAGTGAAATGACTTATATGTGCAAGAATTATAGCAGCACTTTTTGTTGTAGCAAAGAACTGGAAGCAAAATAGACGCCTATCAATTGAAAAATGGCCACACAAAATATGGCATATGATTGTAATAGAAGTTATTGGATCAGAAGAAGAATATGTTAAGAGATTTATAAAAACACTCACATGAACTGATGAAGAATGAAATGAGTAGAAACTAGAAAACAACTTCTGTGATAATGATAATAATAAAATGAGGGGAAACAACTTTGAGAGGTCAAAAGAACTCTGATAAAAGCACTGACCAATCATAACTTCAAAAGACTTATAATGAAACACAACTTTCAACTCTTGGGAAAGAAGTGAGAGCCTAGAGATAAAGAATCAGATATAAGTTTTCACATATGGTACTATATTGATATTTTTGCTTTACTATACACATTTCATAAGAGAGGGTATCTACTCAGGTGGCAGGAGAGAGGAAAGTTAGAGGGTTATGACAGATATGAAAACACAAGAGCAACAATAAAAATCGTTTCTTAAATGAACAGGAAAAAAGAAATGCAGAAGGAGATACAAATAAAGCAATACTGTTAATACCTTGTCAGACTTAATTAACGCCAACTGCCTCACTAAAAAGCAAAAAAAAAAAAAGGAATCACTTGCATAGAGATAATTGAACCCATGGAGAACTGAGAAGATGAGCTTATCAATCTTACCATTGCCTAATTAAAAAAGAAAAAAAAATTTACATAAAAAAGCTGTTAACTATTTTAAAGGGGGGAGGGGCAGCCAGGTGGCACAGTAGATAGAGCACTGTCCCTGGAGTCAGGAAGACCTGAGTTCAAATCCAGACTCAGAGCAGACATTTGACACTTACTAGCTGTGTGACCCTGCGCAATAGCCTCGTGAAAAAAAAAGAAATAATTTTTTTTAAAAACTGATGCAAGACATTTTCAGTTTCTTGTATAATCCTCTTTCCTGCTCTATTTAACTGAAAATGTAACTTTCTTGACAATTAAGTTCACAATTTTAAGAATAAAGAAAATACTTATTCTGCTTGGCCCCAGAAGACAGATCTCCAAGCAATGGATAATCTTTCAGAAAAGCAGAGGAATGCTTAATGTAAGATAAAACAGCAGCTCGAACTATTCAAAAGTAGAATGGGCTAAATTTAAAAGATTAAAGATTTAAGCCTATTTATGCATTTCTACATAGGCCCTAGCAAAACTTCACTTTGCTGGCTTGGAGTCTAGTGTATACTTGATTGAACTGAATATGAAGACCTACGAACTATCATAGCAAAAGTCTAGCAACAGAGCAAAATAAATTGAATTAAAAGAGATGGGAACATCAATGGATTTTGTCATTAAGAAAATGATTTTGGCATCAGATTACCTAAAGAAGTTATCTGTAATTAAAAAAAAAAAGAAGTTATCTATAAAGCTAGCTAAAGTCTTCAATCCAAAGAAGAAAATAAAAGCTCAAAATAAGTGGAAGCTGCCAACACAAAAGAGAAGAGGCTGTTTCACCTATTCTGCCCTCTATTATGGAATAACCTAGTCCCTTGCAATAGCTGGGATTGTTAGGCTCCTCTCCATATGGCTTTCCTCTGTGAAAGATGAAACTACTTCAATTACCATCCAGAAATCACCAGTAAAGGCTCAAGAAGGTAGGGGGTGTCAATATAGGGAAAAAGGATGGGTGCTTTGAGCTTTCATGTTGAAGATTGTTATTGAAGATGGAAGAGGCCTGAGCCCTCTCAAATTCCTCTCCAAACAACGTTAAAATAATGCGTCAAAATTAATTCTGAGGCAGCACAACCAATAAAAAGATGGGGCAAAACAATTTTCCAGACTAAGAAAACTTAGGTCAGCAAGAATGGTCTATCTCACTGTGGTGAGACTGAAGCACAGGCCACACCAACACAGGCCTTGACCTGAGAAGCCATGAGCAGCTTCCAGAGCTTTCAGCCTACAAACAGTAAAGTCTGAAGTCTGAAGATTACAGGAGACAGTTGCTGGCAGTGAGAAGATAGCTCTCTTGCATTACCTATACCTGGATCTGAGTCACAGTCCCAGGGTAAAAAGAAGTACTAGCAGGAATGAGGACCCTGGACATTGTTCCAGGGCAGCCAGGAGAGCAGTGATCATACTTCTCATTAGAGCATACCACTTTGGGAGAACTGAAAACTTACAGACACTCAGAACTAGATCTGAAAACAGCCTCAAAAAAAACACTAAAGCTTAGGAATATGCCCCCTCCACTCCAGGAGCAGAACCCAACTTTAACATAAAGTTAAAAGTCAGAAAATAGGCTGGAAAAACGAGCAAACAACAACGAAAATAAACTGACCATAGAAACTGACTACGGTGACAGGAAAGATAAAAACAAAAACTCAGAAGAATTCAACAAAATCAAGGCAGCTACAGAGAAAACCTCAAAAAAAAATACTAATAAGTCTCAGAACAAAAAAAGAAATCCTGGAAGAGCTCAAAAAGAACTTGAAAAATTAAATAAGCCAGGAAAAAGAAAATTTTGGGAAAGAACTGAGAGTAATGCAAGAAAATCAAGAAAAAAGAGTCAAAAGCTGAGTAAAGGAGACAAAAAAATGCTGACGAAAATAACATCTTAAAAAAGAGAATAGGCAAAATTGTAAAAGAAGCTAAAGAAAATCCACTTTAGAGAAGAACTGCTTAAAAAGCAAAATTGAACAAACAGAAAAAGATGCACAAAAATTCACTGAAGAGAAGAACTCTTTAAAAAGCAGAATTGACCACATGTAAAGAGATGTACAAAAATTCATTGAAGAAAAGAAATTCTTGGGTAGCAGCAAGGCGGCACAGTAGATAGAAAAGAAGAAGACAATGAATGAATTAGAATAGGCAAAGAAGAAACAAAGCTATCACTCTTGGCAGATGATA